CACACATGCTGTTTTCGAAAGAGCTCTTTCGAAAAAGGCATTCTTCCTTGTAAAATGAGGTTTTCCGCTGTCAAAAAAAACCTCCGTGTTCTTTTGATTTAATTTTCATATAATCATATAATCATAGAACCATAGAGCTGGAAGAGGCCTCAGAAGGTCATCAAGTCCAGCCCCCCATCATTTTGAAAGAACATGATGGCAGTCTAGACGCAGGTGAAGTTTTTTCGAAAAAAGGCGACTTTTTTCGAAAAAAACCTCTGTAGTCTAGACATAGCCCTACTTCTTTCTCTCTCAGTCTTCTAAAAGCTCCATGGTGAGTCAGAAAAGCTTCAGGGGGCTGAAAGAGAAAAAGCATTTAATTTTTCCTTTTCTTTTCTGAGCTAAAACAAGATAGCTGGGAAACAAAATTTTTCCTGTCAGAATAAATGGCCACAATTATTCTGCTCTGTCGACCATACAGTTTCTATCATATGGGACTGGAATTCTGGACTAGCATGTGGACATAAAGGTAAAGAAGAGACTTATGTTCCACACAACCCAACCATGCTCAGGCAATGGCCAGAATAATAGATGAGTTTACATTGTGTCTGGCTTCCTGTCTTTTTTCAATTTTACTTTGTTTTCTTTTAACTGCATTAACTTTGTTAGTGAGAGAAGCTGTAGCCAAAGTGTGCCAGTAAAAATGAAACTGCTATGCAGCCTAAATCTTGATTCTTAATCAACTTCTATTCAGTTCTTACTCAAGAAAAATTGCCATTAATTGTTTAAGGATCATAAGATCTGGTTCACTGACTGTAAAAGCAACCTAGTGAAACAAAATTATTTATCCAACAGTAGGAATATTGCAACAGTGCATTCTAGAAGTGAAATCTTGGCCTACTGGTGTCTATGGAAGGCTACCACAGCCACAGTGAGACCAGGAATTGGATTTCATCTTCTCTGCTCCCTTCCAGATGAGCTCATCTTGCCTTCCTTCCATCCCTTTTATCCAAGCTCACTCTATGGAATGCTCTTTCTTAATCCAAATTGACATGGGCCCAGAGCTCAGATTAAGAAGCTAACTCAGGTTGAAAGAGGCATCCTCTTTGAAGGTGCTATTAGAAAAAAATTAATTGAATTTTAGTTTCAATGCTTTTCTACATGCTACAGCTACTTCAGAACCCACTCCACCTACCTACCATTGGGATGTCCCTTATCTTGCCTTCCTAGTGCCAGAGCCAGGTCACTTTAGGGGCAATCAGTGCTGGGGGAGGGGGGGGAGGGCAGGTTTGGGTGGCCTGGGATTGGAACCCACCACCCTTGTACTCCCTAGGCAGTTAACCTATGCCCCTCCAGAACTCACCCTGTACTCCTCCTATCTGGACACCCCTTATTCTGCCTTCCTGGTACATGAGCCATGTCCAGCCAGAGGGCAACCAGCACTGGTGGGGATAGGGTGGCCTGGGATTCAAACCCACCACCCTGTGCTCCCCAGGAGGTTTCCCTATCCCCTACACCATACCAGAACCAACCCACCTGGTGGATGTCCCTCATCCTGCCCTCCTAGGGTATGTCTAGACTACAGGCTTACGTCGACATAAGTTTTGTCGACAGAATCTGTCTGTGACGGCGCGTTGGGGGTACCCCGTCTCCTGCACCCCGAAATGGCACAAACAGACTGCACCAGCCGGTGGAATAGAGGAAGTTTATTGCCTCTCCAGGATACAGCACAGCACAGCACAGATGGAATCTGGTCACAGAGCTGGGCTAGGATGCCTCAGGCGCCCTTGAGATGGGGGAGACAGGGCCCCTAAACTCCAGCCACCTTTCCCAGCTATTCCATTTTTACAATATCATTATAAAATAAAATTTGAAATATAAATACTGTACTTATATTTCAGTGCATAGTATATAGGCAAGTATAAATAAGTCGTATGCAGTTTTAGTTTGTACTGACTTTGCTAGTACTTTTTATGTAGCTTCTTGTAAAACTAAGCAAATATTTAGATGAGTTGATGTGCCTCTTGGAAGACCTCTGTGAACTCCCAGGTTATGCCTAATCCTGCAAGTTTGGCATTACCTTTGCATAGTGCATATTTCCCTGCTGGGTCTTGCTCCAGACAGCAGGGGTCACCACAGCCCAGCAAGTACCCCCACTACGTCA